CTTCCCCTGACTACGATGGAGGCTGTGAGAAGGCTCGTCCTCTTGGCCCTCTTAATTGTGCCATGTTTGGCAGAGTTGAACTGGACCAAGTCTGAAGGTAAGAAAATTGAACCCGTTGTTTCCTATCAAAATAAGGAGACCTCCTTTCCAGAGGCCTCTGCTGAAAGTTTTTCAAGTTTTAATATCTGCTAATGGCCTTAATACAGGGAACATTTATTTGTATGCTCTTGATATGATTTTGAATTAGTACTAAGGCTTTTCAGGCCTATATGACAATATACATAAAAATGTAAAAGGGTAAAGAATTTTACCTAGTAATTTCACTCCTGTGAATTAAATATTTTGGAAATAATTATAAAAGTGCACACAAACACACTGCATTTACCTAATGTAAAAAGCAATATAAATTTCCTTCATTTATTCTGTAAGTTGTAAAGGTAAACAAAGGTAAATACTTTGGCGATTTCTTACAAATCGTAAGAAAGGTGCCCAGGATCCAGCTTAAGAGAGAAAACAACTATCTGATATTTGTACACTATGATGGTGTTTATGTTTAAAATATATACATTGGAGCATCTTTAAAAATCTGGAAGTAGACGAGAAAAGAAAAGGTTCTGGAAGTTTCTACAATAAGGTTTTAATGGTGATTTTTTTCTGAGAGGGTGGGATTATACTTTTATCTTTTTTTAAAAGATTTATTTATTTATTTGACAGAGACACAGAGAGAGAGAGAGGGAACACAAGCAGCAGGGCAGGGCAGGGGTGGTGGGAGAGGGAGAAGAGGCTTCCTGTGGAGCAGGGAGTCCGATATGGGCCTCCATCGCAGGACACTGGGATCACAACCTGAGCCAAAGGCAGATGCTTAATGACTGAGCTACCCAGGGACCCTATACTTTTTAATTGTCTTTGCTTTCTGATATTTTTTACTAATAAACATAATAGTTATTGTTAGGGGAAAATAAATAAGAGACTATTGTTATAAGGACATCACCCATCACCCGCCGATGAAAAGGGAAATGAAAAGCTTTTTGTTTGTAAGTGGAGTTTTTAACTCTTTGTTGGGTTCCATTATGAAGTATTTACTTTTCTTGTTCACATTCCATTACAGCCGCCACTGCTGCTCCTGCCCCTCCTCCTCCTCCTCCTTTTCTTTTAGTAACAGCTTTATTAGGATATAATTCATATACTATAAAATCCACTCTTCTAAAATGTAAAATTTACTGGTTTTTAGTATTCACACAGAATTGTGCAACTGTCACCATTCTTTAATTTGAGAACATTTTCATCATCCCAAAAAGAAACTATGTACCCATTAGCAGGTACTCCCCATTTTTCCCAATACTCTCAGCCCAAGGCAACCACTAATCTATTTTCTGTCTCTACAGATTTCCCTAATCAGGACTTTTCATACGCATGAAATCCTATAATCTGCGGTCTTTTGCTCAGCGTAATATTTACAAGACTCATCCATGCCGTACCATACATTAGTACCTCATTCCTTTTCATTGCTGTATAATCCTGTGTTGTATAGATAGACCCTGTTTTACGTCTTCGTCAGTTGATGCCCATTTGGGTTGTTTCCACTTATTTGTTATTTTGGCTAGTGCTGCTATAAATAAACATTAGTGTACACTTCTTTGTGTGAACATATGTTTTCATTCCTTTGGAGATATGCCTAGAAGAAACTACAAGTAGAGCTGCTGGGCTATGGTAACTCCCTGTTTCATCTTTTGAGGAATTGTCAGACCGTTTTCCCAGCAGCTGTCCCATTTTACCTTCCCATGAGCTTTGCAGGAGGATTCCAATTTCTCCGCATCCTTGTCAAGACTCATTTACTTTGTGTTTTTCACTCTAGTTTTGTTTCACATCTTTTTTTTTATAATCATTTTTAAAAATTTATTTTCAGCATAACAGTATTCATTGTTTTTGTACCACACCCAGTGCTCCATGCAATCCGTGCCCTCTCTAATACCCACCAATGGTGTGAAGTCGTATTTCACTGTAGTTTTGAATTGCATTTCCCCGATGACTAATGATGTTGAGTATTTCTTCATGTGTTTATTGGCCTTTATGTGTTCTTTAGAGAAATATCTATTTTTGTTGTTTCTCTATTTTTTATCGGGTTGTCTTTTAATTGTTGAGTTATAAGAGTTCTTTATATATTGTAGATATAGCTTCTTTGTAAAACCATCTTTCTTTAAGCCCTAATATAGTATTTATTTAATTAATTTTTTTAAAAAAGATTGTTTCTTCATTTGACACAGAGAAAGAGAGCACACAAGTAGGGGGAGTGGCAGGCAGATGGAGAGCGAGAAGCAGCCTCCCCGCTGAGCAGGGAGCCCGATGTGGGACTCAATTCCAGGACCCCGGGATCATGACCTGAGCGGAAGACAGACTCTCAACTGACTGAGCCTTCCAGGCACCCCTATAGTCTTTATTTTTTATGATCCACATATAGAGAAATCATAAATTTTTTCTCCCTAAGGGCTCTAAGATGGCGAAATCATTGGATGGTGGCTTACTTTGGAATGAACTAAATACCATCACAATTACGTGCATGCTTGTATGAATATTACCTATGGCGGGTAGAGTCCTAATTGCTGAAGGAGAAGACCAGGGCAGCTGACTTTCTTCATTGTGAACCGTGGTCTCTCCCAGGCAAATCAAGCTGCCAGGCCAGCTTGGGAGGCTCCAGCCAGTCAGATGTCCACAGGGCCCTAATCCTGCAACTCAATCCCAACGAGGACTGCACCTGGACACTAGAAAGACCAGAAAACAAGAGCATCAGAATCATCTTTTCCTATTTCCAGTAAGTAGAGTCTTTTTTTTCCAATGAGGATGCTTGAACTCTGGCCAACTAAGGAGTTTGTGTCAGAAAAAATCAGCTGGTCCTAGAGATAAAGGTAACTCCCACGATAACGAAGACGATGAAGACAGTGGTTGATAGTACTGACCGATGACTGGGCCCCTGGCTCTGGTCACAGAGGTCCTGGAGGTCGGTGTGGTTTTCACAGGCACTGGGAGGTGGAGAACTTGTCTCAGGTCGCACAGTGAGTAGAATGACCGGCATTAGTACCCAGCTAGTCTAGTTCCAGATTCCAGGCCCTAAAACTCTAAACTTGTAGTTCTAGTCTTTGCTAAGCATTCTAATCAGCAGGGACCTCCCCCAAACCCAGATGTCCAGGCTGAACACCAGAGAATTAGATCAGAATCCCCGGGGGTGGGGACGAGGCCATCGGGTGTTTTTTCTTTAACTTTTCATTTTGAAATCAGTACCTACTCACAAGCACCTTCTCTAAGTGCCCGGGTCACGGCAGCGTGAGGCCAAGCTGAGCACAGGACCCTGCTCTAGGAGCCTCCCTCAGGGCTCGGGGACAACTTCCTCAGTTAAGCCTCTCAACAGCTCTCAGGGTGGATGCAATCTAATCCCCACTCGGTGCGTAAGAAATCCCAGAGAAGTCACCTTGTACCCAGAGTCACAGATGACTACAGGTGGGAGAGGACTGGAATCCAAGCCACCTGGCTCCAGGGCTCAAAGTCTTACCCAATCCCCGTGGTGCTAAAGCTGGGGAGTCTCAGGGCAACTCGACGGAGGGTTTTGCGAAAGTACGGTTGCTGGGCCCTGGACCCAGATTCTGGTCCAGGTGGGGGCGGCTGGGGCCCGAGAACGGGTGTGCAGAGGTCACGAGCCCAGGGGCGCTTCCTGCCGCCCCTGCTGGTCAAGGCGCCACGCTGGGAGGTGCGTGTCCGTACACCCGGGCCGGGGAGCAGACTTCTCCGTGGCCCTCACGGAAACAGAGGGGAAGGGGGACTTCCACGTTTCCTGGACTTCCAGGGCTACCGAGAATCCTCTGCATTATTCTTGGTGTGTGGAGAGGGAGGGCGGGGAGATGAGCTTTTCACGCTGAGACACTGCCTGTGTGCCGGGCCTGTGCCAGGCGCTTCCCGTTGAGAACACGGGAACCCCCACACCAGACGAAGGCTGTGACTCCCCATTTACAGAAGAGACTGAGGAAAAGAAATAGTGAATCGCTTGTGCAAGTTTCCACGGCAAGTGAGGGACTCAGGTTGGAGGGAGAACTGGGGTGGGTCCGCCCTCGTGTTTCCCTCTAGGGCACCGCGGCCCTCCGTCGGGATTCTGAGGGCGTTTGGACAGACCCTGTCAGAACGGGCAGAAAACAGCCATCCTGCTCTGCCGTGCCGACGCAGGGCCTGGGACTGTCCTTACGAATGAGGACGTGGGGCTGTGAGGGAAGGAAGGGGCTGGGAAGAGGCGAAATCCGCTTTACCTTGAGAGAGGGGGCCGGGGAGGAAGAGCTGCTCCCCCTTTCAACAGCCTTGGATGTCCAACCTCAAGGGGAATGAATTCTACATAAGAAGATCCCACCCCACAATTCCCACATGCGCACGAGGAACAGGAGAGACGGACGTGGAAGGCGAGTGGTCTTGGGTTCCAGACCCACCTTCCCCCACCCCTGACTTTACAGAATCGTTGGCAAAGCGGTTCAGTCTGAGCCCTGCTTCTTCGGGACAGTGAAGAGATCCTGGATGCCGGGTGGCTGACAAGGGGGTGAGGACAGTAGCTGTTAAGGTTTGAGAGGTTTCGATGAGGACAGATGTTTTCCTACTTTGTAAATTATGAGGCTAACGTGAGCCCTGGGGCACTCTTCCGGGTGAGACACATTTCTCCTGAAGAACGAAGGAAATCTGATGCTATTGTGATATATGCGGTGAATGTCCCTTAAGTTAGAAAAGACTAGAAAAGGTGAGATGCAAATCCTCGAGTGACTGTGGGTCACAGCCTGTTCCCTGGAGGGCAGTACTGCTGTGCTACGGAAACATGAACAGGGTATTGAAATGAGCCCTTATTGTAAAGAAAAAATTCACCAAAACATTACATGAGTGTGAAATGCCCCACTTGCATAAAAATAAAGCATTTTAAGCAAAGATTCATTGAAAATATAGCATTTCCGTTACTTAAGACAAGTCGTTTCCAAAGCAGATACGTTTATTTTTAAGTGCAAATACATCACTCTTGAACACATACACGACAGTTCTAATTTCCGAAAATGACATCTGCTGGAGAGAAGCACAATCCTCTCGATTCCCATGCCTAAATCTTTCCGTGCGCAAGCATAGTGCGTCTCAGTTTCAACACCCCAGAGGAGAGCTCTGGGAGGCACCCGCCTCCGCTCAGAAAAGGCGGAGTTCCTTATACTTTCTGTGTTTATTGAGCTAAAACAAGAGGCATTCTCCCATTCTACATCAAACACTAGATCTAAGATAATCCCAACAAGGAATAGGCCAGGTCTGATTTTGACTTTCCAACTTCCTGCTACAGTGAATTGAGACACACAGGAGCAGCCACAGGAGGGGCCCCGTGTCTCTGCATGTCATCAACACTGCCATCTTACTCATTCTCTGAATTTAACACTACAAATATAGTGATCCGAGTGAGAGGATTTTAAGTATCCAATTTTCCATGAAAAATCAATTTGAAGAAAAGTTACCAAATACTTTAAGCATTTATCATACTCCTAAGACTACAATATAAACCCCTTTATAAATAAAAATGGACTTTATCAAACACGTTATACAATAGGGACTCACGAATGGCCTTAAAAACCTTTAACATTTTTAAACACTTAACCCAGAAATATACATAAATTTCTGTTAAGAGTAAACAATATTGCGAACAAAAATAACGGATGACCTGATCAGGTTAATCCTCGTGCACAGCCCTGGACAGACAGTAACAAGTACATTAAAATGAACACTGAGGTCGCTCGATGTGCGTAAGATGATGCCCCCAAACGACACTAAATCCTTGCCTTGAACTCTGGGGGTTTAGGCTTTGCCATAAATACGTAATAAATATCTGTAGCACATCCTACGGGTTGAGCACTTATCTCTCTCCATTGGAAAGTCTTTCCCCAGAGTCACACTGTGTCAGGGCCATCCCAGGGGGTGGGGAGGGGGGATTCTGCAGCAGGTCCATCAACACAGCCATCTTCCTGTCCACGTGCTCCTGGAGTTGACGTATTCGCTGATCGATGGAGTCCACAAGCTTCTTTTCCAGCAGTTCCATATTTTTAGTAAGAATCTTTTCCAAGTAGGAGCACACAGGTTGCTCTTCCGTCCTAAAAATAAATTTAAAAACCAGTGTAACAATTATCCCTGATATCCTAACAGAAACAAGCGAACCATACGAAACGAGCCCCCAAAGTACGATGCGGAAATCTGTCTCCGCAACGCTGCCGTCTGGGTACGAGGGGTTTCCGGTGCCAAAATCCATCTACAAGGGGCAATCACAGCCCTAAGCGCCCAAAGCGTGCCGCATCTCCGATTCTTTCCACATTTCAGCACAAAAGTGAAATGAGGGCATGACGAGAGGGAATGTCCCCCCTTACAGAACAAGTCTCTACAAAGGGTCTTGGATTTTGAGCCCCAAATCAAAACTGATCTGCTTCAATGTTTCTTAAGGTCTCCACATATGTCTTCCAAGAACTTCCCCAAGCAACCCCACAGTTTCAAGGTTTGTCTCTTGTCACCTGCACAACCTCACTAAGCACTGGAAGGTTCTCTTCTAACCTAATATGGAAACATATAAAAACGAATGTAACTGAAATGGGCAGAGAGAAATAACAATACTTAGAAGGGGAGCCTGGGTGGCTCAGGCTGTTAAGTGTCTGACCTCAGCTGGAGTCAAGGAGCTCAGGGTCCCTGCTCCAGAGGGGTGGTGTGTGGGGGAAGGGGGTCTGGATCTCTCTGCCCCTCCCCCATGCATGCGGTCTCAAATGAATAAATAAATTCTTAAACAACAACAGTAAAAGCAGTCCAGTTTCTCAGGTTCACAACCAATGTACACCAGGGCAGTGAACCTCAGGGCGTGGTCCACAACACCCTGCGGACCCGTGACTTGTTCAGCTTCCACCAAGTAGCAAGCGTTCTTACACAACAACCAACATGATGTCTGAACCCTTCACCCCCAGATCCTCAGGAACGTACGGTGACATTTCCCAGAGGCTACACGAGGTGTGATGTCACCGCTCGGGTGAGCAACAGAAGCTGTGGTCGAGCAAGAGTTCTTCTGTGTCTTAGACTGTCCGAGGGCAGTCAGTTTAGGGTCTAAATATTGTCTTCAGCATGAACCCCGTTTGTCCTCAGCACTTCTGCGCTCTCATCGGCTACTGAAGCCACATGCTGGAGGGCAACACAGATGAGAATGCGAGCAGATGCTAACATCGATTCTACACGTCACCTAACACCATTCTGAGTTGTTCTTTAGAAAATACCTTTGTCATAAAAATTGTTACTAACATAATGGGTCTGTTATTTTTAAACAAATGAATCCTTTCATATACTCTGCATAAATAAAGCTTCTTCACAGTCCTCAATTACTCTTGAGAGTGCCGAGGCCAAAAAGATTGAGAACCCCACTCTAGAATATAGAGCGGTTTTAAAAACCATTATTTTTTTTCAAGGACTCCAGCTTCACAGGAAGTTGTAAAGATACAAGAGTTCCCCCGTAGCCTTCCCCCAGTGGTCCCAATGGTTACATCTCACCCAACTCTGGAGAATACAAAAGCAGAAAACGGATGTTGGGACAGTGTGCGCAGGTGCCGTCCTCCCACAGGTACACACGTTCACGTGAACATCACAACTGAGATCACAACTATTCCTTCACTACAAACATCTCCCCATTGTCACAGCCGCTCCCTAACGCCCTCCAGTCTGAACGCCCGCAACCACCAATACGGTCTCCATCTCCACAACTCCATTTTGGGAACGTTACACAAATGCAATCTTGGTGTGTGACCTCCTGAGATTCTCCTGTCCCTCAGCATAGAATGTCCTCAGGAGCCATCCAAGTTGCTGCGCGTGTCAATGGTCCGTTCCTTTTTACTGATTAGCATCCTGCGATATGGATATACCAAGTTTGTTTAACTGTTCATCTAGTTTAAGACATTCTGGTTGCTTCCAGTTTGGGACTGTTATGTAGACATAAAGCTGCATGAAGAACTGGGCATAGTTTCTTGTGTCAACATAAGTTCTCATTTCTCTGGGATAAATGCTTAGAAGTAGGATTGCTGGATCACACGGTTAATATTATGTTTAGTTTTCAAGAAACTGTCAACATATTTTTAGGGTGGCTGTAGCATTCTATACTCCCCATCAGCAACGTAGAAGAAATCCAGTTTCTCCACATCTGCATCTGCATTTGGTATTACCATTTTAAAAATTTTAGCCTTGGAATAACTGTGTAGTACCTTGTGGTTTTAAAACCAGTTGGCCACACTTGTTTGGGGTTATTTCCATGTGCTCTATTCTACTGATCTGTCTCTGTCCCTCTCCCAATACCATGGTCTTAAATACTGTAGCTATGTAATAGTATGTTTTGAAATGAAATAATGATTTCTCTCACTACTCTTCTTTTTCAAAATTGTTTCAGCTAGTCCTTTTTCTTTCCATTTCCACTTTATAATCTTGATAGAATAATTTATAAAAGATATTTTGAATTTTGGAGGGAATAGCATTAAACCTATGGATTAATTTTGGGAAAATAGTTACTATATTGAATCTTCAAATTAATGAATGGTATGTCTCTCCATTTATTCTGGCCTTCTCTGATTTCTTTCCTCATCATCTTGTAAATTTTCAGTCTATGGACCCTATCTATGTCTTGTTAAATTTTTATGTTTTTGTAATTTTTTTTTATGGATCAACATATTTTACATGTATTTTTATGTATCTTACTCTCTTTGGAGCAATCTAATTTTGTTTGCAGGGCATACTGGCTTCATAAAATGAGCTGAGAAGTCTTTCCTCCTCTTCTTTTCTGTGAAGTGTTTACAATTGGTATTCTGTAAAGATTTGGTAGAATTCTCCAGTGGAATCGCTTGGGTCTAGATATTTATTTTATGCCAGCTTGCAAATTATGAATTCAGAACTGTTCATGGTTATAGGACTCTTTTTTGCTTATTTTATCTCAGCTGAATTTGGTATTGTGTGGCTTTTGAGGAATTCTTTTCTTCCAAATTGTTAAAGTTATGAGCATAAAGTTGTTTGCAATATTCCCTTTTTAAAATGGACTTAGGATGTGTAGGGACATCTCCAGTTATATTCCTTATATTGGTGAGTTGTGTCTTCTCTGTTAATCTTTGCCAGGCATGCTAGCCAATCTTACTAAAAGTTTATCAATTTCATTGAATTTCTTCACAGATGTTCTTTACTGTTCCCTTGTTTTTAATTTTGTTGATTTCCACTCTTCGTCATTTCCTTCTTTCTGCTTGATTTGGATTTATTCTGCTAGGCTTCTAAGTGACAAATTCAATTTCTTTAATGGTTATATAGGACTATTTCATCTTTGTTGAGTTGTAGCTTTGCATTACTGAGCTCGCCCCTTTTCTAATGTATTAGTGCCATAAATACCCACTCAACGCTTGTTTACTAGCTGCCTCCCACAGTTTGATCTACGTATTTTCTTTCATTTTCAAGTATTTTTAATATTTCTATTGGGAATTCCTTTTTGAACCACAGATTTAGGAATGTGTTGTTGAGTTTCCAAGTGTCTGGAAATTTGTTGTTATTGTGTTTGTTACTGGTTTCTAGTTGGATTCATTTATGGTCACAGAATATACTTTGTGTGATCTCAGTGCTTGGTTAGGTTACTTTATAACTTATCATCTATCCTTGTGACTCTTCCACTGGTACTTGAAAAACATGTGTATTCTGTTATTCTTGGTGGAGCCTTTTATAAATGTTAATTAGATCCTGATGGCTGGGATGGAATTGTTTAGTTCCAAACTAGTCATCTTCAGATGAAAACTCTAGGTTACAATAGATTAAAACTGTGACAAAGTAGGTACACCAAAATGACGACCTGAGTCCTGAATTCTAGTATAATAGATTATTTTGGAAAACTACCTGTATGTAAAGCATAGGGAACATACTAAATTCTTAACCATCTCTTATTCAAACAGGTGCTGTTAAAGCATGATATTATAAGATCAGGAGATAAGATCCTATATAGTATAAATAATTACGATCTTAATACAGTTTTGGTTATTCCAAAACTAGCCCAGGCCAAACATGATCTAAAAAGAAATTCTGTTATAATGACATGCTTGACATATGCAGCTGAAGAACATTACAAACATAAATAAAAACAATGTAAAGCCAGGGCGCCTGGGTGGTTCAGTATATTAAGCATCTGCCTTCAGCTCAGGTCATGGTCCAGGGTCCTGGGATCAAGCCCCACACTGGGCTCTGTGCTCAGCACGGAGCCTGCTTCTCCCTCTCCCTCTGCCACTCTCCCTGCTTGTGTTCCCTGTCAAATAAATAAAATCTCTCAAAACAAAACAAAAAATGTAAAGCTTATGAGTCCACAACTCCTCTCCACTCATAAAAATAACTTTCTACTCCAACGTCTACCTGATGGTCATAAGTGGTCCACAAAATCCCTGGGAAGGGCCCCAAACCTTCACTTTTAGGTACCTCTTTCAAAGCAACCAATTCTATTCCACATAATGGTTATTCCCTATAAGTGAGTTCATGGTAAAATGTATAAACTCCTAAAATTATTTCTGAAAACAGTTTAGGCAGTATACATTGAGACAAGGCTGTTTCCCTTCAGTTGATTCTCACACCTACCTAATCTAAAGCACGTTTGTCTCAAAATAAATACTTACGCAACACCAACGACGCCTTCCCCGGCCTTAGCGATGCCTTCCTGCCACCTGGCGCTACGTCCCACGCGGAGACGGTTAACCTGACTACATAAATTCTGGAGAAAAGGCAGCAACTCAGAGTTAGGTATATTTGAGGCGTCACTTGCTTTCTTCGGCAGGAAAGAAGAAACTGCATTTCTGAGGTCACTCTCAAGAAGAGAATGGTTTGGCGGCACAACGTGATAGTCTTTGAGGCGTGTAGTGTTTCCTCCACCCGGTGGCTGTGGACTTTTATCGACGCAAGCGTTTAAGTCTTCCGTCAGGGTTCCAGACGTCAGTCCGGTTCTGAAAGGGAAAGGCGTGGAGGGGGACTTGTCGGAGGCTCCCGAAGCAGCTGAGGACTGCAGGTCCGCCACTCGTCTGTAGCCAGTATTTCCCAAAACCGCCTGAAGCTGCTCTCCCACGGGAACACAGTTCTAAGCAAGGGAAAGAAATACACGTTACTATCGGTAGTGATGACGGCTAACTTTTGGGGTAACTACTGTGAGTCAGGCAAGGTGCCTTCTTTCTCTGATCCTCTGAACAGCCACACGAAGTAGGCTACAAGTGCTACCCGATCTTAAGCTGAAGAGACCACAGCTGAGGTGAAACCAAGGCTAAAGGTAACCCGGCTCTGGGGATGCAGCTTGTAAGTGGCAGAACTGGGACAGGAACACAGACCACCGAACTCCAGAGTCAAGGCTTTTAATGATTTCACTGCAATTTTCCCTAAAGGAAATAGTAAATATTAGCATGCTTAGTAAAACTGCATTAGCATTAATTTCTCACTACAAAGGCCTCCTTGATTTATGGCAATAAAATATAATACTCACAACTGAGGAACAATCATTGAGAATTTTCAGAAACACCATTCACCAACCTTCCACATATGGTAAACTACTCATTTTTACTTAGGCATATCTTTTGCAATAAGTTTTTCATGGAGGCTACACAGATAGGCCCTTTAAAAGTAGATGTACTTTGGGTACATTTGTTGACACTTCCAATGACCAAAATGAGCTACCTTTTGGCTCTGTTTCTTTCAGAATTTCCAGGACAGTAAGAGTTCTCATGCAGTATTAGTCCCTGAGAAGATTCTGGTTTACCTTGAAGAGAAGGCTATAATATCAGTCTGTTATGCTCTTCAGTTTTTCCACAGGAGAAAAGCAAAACAACCTCGAGCTTAACTGTTAACTAGGTGTATAAGGCTCTATCCTAAAATCAAAATAATGGAACTGTACTGTGGATTTTCTAAAAAACATTTGAAGTAATCTCTTCAGCCAGCGTGGGGCTCAAACTCATAACCCTGCAATCCACAGTCACCGCTCCATGGACTGCACCAGCCAGGTCTCTAGAACCGCACTACAGAACCCCATCGGGATGTGTCATCCCACAGCTCCTGCTCTTCAGTAGTTTGTTCGAGGGGCACCTGGCTGTCAGTTAAACGTCTGACTCTCGATTCTGGCTCGGTCTTAATCTCGGGGTTGTGAGTTCAGGCCCCATGCTGGGCTCCAGGCTGGGTGTGGAGCCTACTTAAAAATAAATAAATACATAAATCATAGTTTGTGAGAGACAGATTGAAAAGTATTATTCAAGATTAGCTAAGGAAATGCAGTTCATACATTTATCTAGATATTTGAAAAAAATATTTCTGGACTGAGCTAAATCAACATGCACTCACTCAGTATTTGCCAGGAATCGACTCTGCTAAACAACTGTTTCAAGCACTGGAAAAAGAACATGGCAACGAACAACACAGATTAAAATTCTGACCTCATGCAGCCTAACATGCTAAGAGCATAGGGACAGACTGAAGAAATGAAGAAAGGATAGGAAAGAAGAAAGGAAGGAAAAAAATATCCCTTAGATGGAGGTGTGATAAATACTTTAGGGAAAAATAAAGCAGAAAAGGTGAATAATGAGGACAAAGGACATGTGTGTGTGCGTGTGTGTACGGGGGACTCTGTAATGTTAAGTCCCCACAGAAATCCTTACACTGAACTGCACTTTGGAGGAATGCTATTTATGGGGAAGTTTATTTTGTTATTATTTTAAAAACATACTTTTTTTTTTTAAGATTTTATTTATTTGTCAGAGACAGAGAATGCACAAGCAGGCAGAGTGGCAGGCAGAGGCAGAGAGAGAAGCACGCTCCCCGCTGAGCAAGGAGCCCAGTGCGGGACTCAATCCCAGGACCCTGGGATCATGACCTGAGCCGAAGGCAGCAGCCCAACTGACTGAGCCACCCAGGCGTCCCTAAAAACATACTTAAAAAGATTTATTTATTTGCTTTAGAGAGAGAGTGTGTGTGTGTGTACACTCAAGAGCAGGAAGGGGGCAGACAGAGTAAGAATCTCAAGCGGATTCTCCACTAAGCATGGAGCCCAAAGAGGTGCTCGATCCCATGACCCTGAGATCAGGACTTGAGCTGAGACCAAGAATTGGATGCTTAACTCACTGAACCACCCAAGGCGCCCCTTCTTCTTCTTTTTTTTTTTTTTAAATATTGTATTTATTTATTTGACAGAGAGACACAGCGAGAGAGGGAACACAAGCAGGGGGAGTGAGAGAGGGAGAAGCAGGCTTCCCACCAAGCCGGGAGCCTGATGCGGGGCTCGATCCCAGAATCCTGGGATCATGACCTGAGCCGAAGGCAGAAGCTTAACGACTGAGCCACCCAGGTGCCCCAGGCGCCCCTTCTTTATAGGGAAATTTCATCTATTGTCAACTGATCTTGTTCCACCGAATGCAAGTTTTGAATAAACCTGAAATTATTCCTGACACATGATGGATTATGCATAAGTACATTTCCAAAATTTTGAATTAGACAACTCTCCTTTAGCTGAAAAGAGCTTTACTTAGTCATAATAGAAAACTCACTTCTCTATTATACCTCAAAGAAAAAGGTATAACAGAAAACTAATAAACTAGGGGCGCCTGCGTGGCTCAGTGGGTTAAAGCCTCTGCCTTCAGCTCAGGTCATGGTCCTGGGATCCTGGGATCAAGCCCTGCATTGGGCTCTCTGCTCGGCAGGGAGCCTGCTTTCCCCTCTCTCTCTCTGCCTGTCTCTCTGCCTATTTGTGATCTCTGTGAAGTAAATAAATAAAATCTTAAAAAAAAAAAGAAAACTAATAAACATTAATAGTAATGATATTTACATTGAGTCAATGTCAAAACTATGACCATTCATCAGGCAGAAAATGTAATATAAAAACTCAAATACAAAGGTATTTGCTATGCAAAATTTCCTTTTCTGACACATCTTAATATTCTGATTATAAGAAAAGACTGATTTTTAGTCATTTTTTTCTCAGAGCTCTTCAGGTGATTTTTTCCCTCTTTGTATGAAACATAAAATTATTCACAGGTAAGTCTATATGTCACTATAGTAAGTGTACAAACCTCAGGTGCTTGTGGCTATTCTCCCCCAATTTTATACACGTTTGTCCAATTCTTGTTTTTACTTGTCTTGTTGTGTACTGTTTTGAAATCATATCAAATCCTTTTGCAAGTGAACAGCTAAATACATATTAAATAGTTTAAAGAACTTAGCCTTTGCCAAAATAATTTCACTGCTAAGAATTTACCCTAGGGGCACCTGGGTGGCTCAGTTGAAGCAAATGACTTCTGCTCTGGTCATTTTCCCAGAGTCCTGGGATCCAGTTGTACTGGGCTCCCTGCTCAGTGGGGAGTCTGCTTCTCCCAGCTCATGCTCTCTCTCATATAAAAGTAAAATCTTAAAAAGAAGAATTTACCCTGAAGAGATATTTGAACCAGTGTCAAAAACAGATATTCAAAAATCTTCTATGTACTGCTACTAATACCACTGAAAAACATAAATATTCATAAATCAAGGACTAATTATGTACCATAACATCACTGAGATATATATTTATTGCTTAGGAAGAGGCTCATAATATCCTGTTAAATGAAAAACGTTACTGAACAACAGATACATCATAAAAGCATTCAGATAAAATTATGCCCATATACTTACATATGAATATATAAAGAGCTGTATGGTGTGTGTGTGTGTGTGTGTGTGTGTGTGTGTGTGTGTGTGTGTGTGTGTGTATACATACACACAGATTTCTGAAAAATTAAGTTTATTTCTTCATATATTGTAGGATTTATAAACGTATGAATTTTCTTACTGCTTATTATAAACACCTCAAACATGTAGCAGACCTTTAATAATCAGAAAAAAATAAAATTATAAAGCCATTTTTATTTTCAAGAGGAAAAAGTAACAATACAAATCCTGAACAACTTAATGTTTGAGAAAATGGGGCATATCCTTTCATTCAGATAATTTTAAGCATCAGCTCTATGTTCGGTACTTTGATACAGAATTACTGCTCAGTTATCTCTCAATTACTAGAGCAGAAACAAATCAAAGCCAGCAAATACAAAGGAACAAGGAATAACTTTAACATTTACTGTGATAAAACAGAAGTTTGTACTGTCAAATAAGACCTATATAACTCAGAGTATTAACCTTTCATAAAACTTTCAAGAAAACAAGTAATCCCAAGGCAGAGGTGAGGCACGGAAAGGTCTAGGACTTGGTACCCCAAAGTCCTCCCTTTCCCCTTCAGGACAGGCACAGTCCCAATTAATACAGGAAGGCTCTAAACAATGCATGTGGTTAACCAATTCCATGAGTAGTTCTGGTCAGGAAATATCCCATTTTATGCTCAGATTATTGAAGGGTTCATGTGGCATTTTCCAAGAAGACATGCCGTAGACATCTAGAGACTCTGGTTTGTTAACAATAATTAACCCTAGACAATCAGGACACGCTCCATGAATAAGGACTCTCCCTCTATGAGGGAGGTCTTTCATTAGCAATGTTTCAAAGGAGACTGAACAGGATCACCTTTCTTCCCAGGGTGTCCCCCAAATTTCCTCACATGTAAGACTTAGAACTTATTGACTGTAAGCAAGTTACAACACAGTGTCTATGGCATGAACCCATGAGTGCTGGCTGGGACAGTTTATGTTTGTTTCTAAATGCACAGAATTCTAAGAAGGATACATTCCAAACTGTTCTCAGTAGTTACCTCTGGGGAACTGGATGACAGCTGGGAAAACTCAATATACTTCTGCACCGATTCAAATGCATGGCAAAGAAAACGCAGCATTTTAGGAATAAAACATTAAATTTTAAAGACATATTCCCCCCTCCAAAATAAATCTACCATCTTTTTTTTCCCCCCAAAGTCAAGTTTTTGAAAGATAGGAATTAGTCAGTGAACTAGTTATATATAACGGGACTTGATTCCAGGACCCCGGGATCATGACCCGAGCTGAAGGCAGAGGCTTAACCCACTGAGCCACTCAGGTGCCCCTCTTTTTAAAATCTTCAACCTGTTTCTTCACAGAATCTTTGCACTGAGAGAGGTATTCTCAAACCACAGCATGCTTTTATAAAGTTAAACCTAGCATACTTATTTAAAATACTGATCCCTGGATCCCAGTCAAAAATGTGGCCAGGATATCCATTTTGTAAAAACTGGAAAGGATTCTGATACAGGTGTTCTGTGGATCATACTTTAAAAACATCCTAAACTTTTTTTTTTTTTTTAAAGATTTTATTTATCTGACAGAGAGAGACACACAGAGAGAGTGAGCACAAGCAGGGGGAGTGAGAGAGGGTGAGGCAGGCTTCCTGCTGAGCAGGGAGCCCGATGTGGGCCTCGATCCCATGACCCCGGGATCAAGACCTGAGCTGAAGGCAGACGCCTAATGACGGAGTCACCCAGACGCCCTAAACTCTTTTAAACAGCTCAAGTCTCACAAATTTGACAAATTCTTCCATTCTTCCCAATATTCCTTTTCACAACCATCTAATTTTCTCTTTATCTCTAAGCTTCTTGAGAAAAGCCTTCTAAAATGCTCAAAACAGTGCTTTATTCACTGAGAAGGTACTTAATAAGTATCTGCTGAATGAACGAATGAGTAAATTCACAGAAAATTGTGAAGATTGTAGCAAGATATTTTGTAGAAGAGAAAGTCTACAAAATGCTATTTTACAAGAGCAAATAAAGGTAAAACAGTCAAATCAACAGTAAAAGTTCAAAGAAAAAACTTAAGTCGATATATGTCCTTTGAAAAAGCTGTCATTTAAATCATTAATGGTACCTGGACGGAATCCATGTCCACCTACCTGCTGCTGAAATTTAACCATATTCATCAACTGCTGAGCACCAGGTGACAACTTGGACCCCATGGCCTCCATGAGAGTTTGGACCCTCTGCAGGTCTATCCTTGATCCTAGAGCAGGAGAGCTTGTTGAAGAATTTGCTGAAACCCGCCTCAACTGTACCACAATTTTACTGATGAACACACGCTGCTTTTCACCAAAGGAGAGCAACTATCGTAAAGCAAGAGTTCCAGAAAATAATGATATTAAAAACAATCAGCATTTATAGTCACTTCTTGTTATCGCTTAAGATTGAAGCATTTGAGAATAAAAAAATTAAATACATTTTCATTTTTAACTTTTCTCTAGCATAGTCATGGTCAGAAAAAAATCCAAGTTATCATGAGGCTCAGAAGTATTTAAATAAAAAAGTCCTTTTAAACTAACAAACTACACATAAAATAGCAAATGGGGGTAAGGAACATAAAACAACATTTACTCACTTAGTTTAAGAAACTGAAAATAAACTGTACCAATCTGAGACCTTAACATACTGCAAGTTGCAGTGTAAATATAAATACTTAATGAAAATAAGGCTGTGGAGAGCCCACGCTAAGTGTTTAGTGAAATATTAATTATCAGTCATTTAGAAGTTAAAACTGTAAAGGAATGTCAAAATGATCTTATATAGCTTGACTGTTTACTTATTTCAAAAAATGAGTTCAAGAGTGATTTTCTAACTTGTCAAAGGACACCAAGAAGGAAAGGTGGAACTTTGAACCTAGTTCTTCCAGCTTTGACCCCAGTCGTTTTCCCAATACTTTATGCTGCTTCATTTTGTCCATGTTTCTGAACCAAAAGACACTTCCCGTGTGACATGGACAACAAATTAGCAAAGTGGAAAGGGACCAGGATTTAGAATCAGACAGACCTGCATACAATGATGACTCTGCAATGTACGGCCCGTGTGACGTTGGGCAAATGCCAAAATTTGAGTGAGGAGCAAAATGAGGGAGAGTGAGAACCGTGTTTCACATGGCTGTTCTGCGGACTACCTGCTAAAATTTACAGTACCGACAACTGACTAAGGGCTCAAAAATATGCAGCAGTAGCTCTTATTTTTATTTTAACTTTCTCATAGTCTTGCTCCAGAAGTCTTCATAAGATCCCCCTGAATGAAACAAGACTTGGCGCTCCCATGTACTTCCACAGAATCGTTACAACACATTCACCTTCACAGACACATAATCCCGTATATCACACAGAGACACAGGTGGATACAGATCCATGGCCTAAAAACTCTGCGTGGCACCAAACGGGACTGTCATCAACAATAAAGTAATCATCTCACTAAATTTATACATCTACATGCCAATCTCCTATGATCCCTTTCCTGCTTTTTAATTCCCAAGCATTTCTACTAAATATAGCACATACTGAATCTACATGTTCTCTGCCTTGCTCCCTAAAATATTAGCAATGTGAGGGCTCTGCTCCAATTTATTTTATTACTGCTAATTCCTAAATGCTTAGGGGAGCAAATGGAACTCTAATATTTGTTGAATGAATGAATCACTTCATTTAAATGACTTTAGATACTACTAGCATTCACTACCTAAAACAACATCAGTTCTGTGAACTTCTCTGTTATAACAAGCTCAGAGATAAAATATTTAGAGATGAAAATAATCCAAGGATTTATTGTCTTCAGCCTCCTAAAATAACCCTTAAGGTAGGTCCAAATAGGTGAAGAAACTTGCTCAAGGCTTTCCTGCTAGTTAGGAACAAAGCACACTTAAATCAGGGCTTACAATGTTCAGTTCGGGATTCTTTCCCTAGATTCTGATGACACCATTAAAGTTCACTTTAATAGTAACAATTAATTAATTAGTTAATTAATATTTAACAACAGTTTTCACGCTGAGGACACCATTCCCAAGTCCTTTAATTATGTGGTGCCTTTGCCTGAAACTTCTCTGTGTTCTTTTTGGGGGTATTTTGGGACAAAACCTGCTTGTGGTTTTCACCTAAGTTTTATATAAAAATAAACAGGCTTTAATCTCAGTTTTCGAGGCTTAAAAGTATAGTACTACTCTAAGAACAATAGTATACGTCATGGCATTGCCATAGCTAGTAAATGTTCAAATTTTAAAAGGAGAATGTTGACAATTTTTTAGAGAATTTCTTCTTATATGTTTACTAAATATTTCTCAGCTAAAACCAGGGACCATGTGGGACATATCGCATTACAACCATCAGAAAATAAGTTTATGTAGTACAAAAACAACTGTAGTTTTCAAATTAGTTACAATTCAATGATTACTTACCTTTATTTTACAAGCATGTGTGGAGGACTCCAATTTTAGGTATTTTTTGTACAAAATAATCTTTTCATCTTCACTGAAAATAAAAAAAATAATTTCTTAAAACTTCCAGATACTATCACTTTTAATAGTTATTAAAAAATGAAGGCAAGGACAATCCATAAATCCTGACACTCAGTTTTCCCGGGGAGGCATAAAGAACTGCGGCTTCATATTGAATTGCACTGGGTAAAAAGTCTCCACCTGTCACTTACTACCTATATAAGATAGTTCAGTTCGGTAACAAATGTATAATCATGTAGCACAGAGCATATTTTAAGATTTATTTATCCGAGAGAAAGAAAGACAGAAAAAATGAACGCAGGTGTGATAGGGAGGGGCAGAGGAAGAATCTTAAGCTGACTCCAGGCTGAGCGCAGAGCCCGATGAGGGGCTGGTTCTCCTCACCCTGAGATCTGACCTGAGCTAAAACCAAGAGCCGGTGGGTCAATGGACTGTGGCACTCAGGCGCCCCCGCAGAGCACATTTTAAAGCTCAACAAACATATCCATTATTTCCAACATACATGGTATATAAAAGTTCATATTTTGGGCTCTATTAAAGAAAGACTAGGACAGAATCTTAAGAATTCAGGGGAAAAAAGTCCGGGGTGCCTGGTTGGCCCCATCAGTTAAGTGTTGGACTCCTGATTTCTGCTCCAGTCATGATCTCAGGGTGGTGAGATCCAGTTGTCTGGGCCCCACACAACCTGCTTAAGATTCTCTCTTCCTCTGCCACTGCCCCCCACCCCCCAAAAAAAGAATTCAGAAAAAACAAAAAAAAAAAAAACCACCCCCCCCCCCCCAGAAAACCAAAACACCACCAACAAAAAACCGGAAATATAATACCAGGTGAACTGTGGCGGTACGGCACAGTCTGGGGATCCTGCATTATTCCTAACGGGCTTCCTACGAGAAAATGTGTTCAAAGTTCCAGACTGACTGAATAATTAATTTTTGGAAAACAGACTCCCTTGCGTTAAGAAGACAAATAAGAAACGTTTCTCAGAACATCAGCTCTAATCAAAGTCTTCCACGAACTGGTCCGCTCCACGCAGTCCCCTGCCGCAATCGGCTGGAAACCCGCACACCGACCACCGCGGAAGAGCGGACTTGGACGCTCTCCAAGAGCCCTCACAGGGGAAACTCCCGCCGCTCCGGTACGGCGGCAGCTTCTGTCGGCCGGCGCCAGGCCATCCACACACAGCACAGAAGCTCGGAGAGCCCCGCCCCGCTCACACACCTGTCACCCGGGTCGCCGCCGACGGCCTCGCCCCGGCTGGTGCCGCAGTACTCCTCTCCCAGGTACACCTCCATGTTCCTGGCCGAACTCAGAAGGCCGACAGACACGATCTCCTCAGCCCCGCCGGGCTCGCAGCTCAGCTGAAGGAAGCAGGGCTTCTCCCCCGGGCTGCTCGGGCCGCTCTCCAAAACCACCAGATCGTGGCTGAAAGGAAAACCGTCCCGCGCGCTCCTCAGTCTGCGCGTCCGAACCCCGCTCGCGACCCTCTGGCCGGGCCGCGGGTCCTCCTGACCCACTTCGTCTACACGGAGGGCCCCGCGCCTTCCCAAGCACCGACCGACGCTCGGCACAGATTCCCGAGGGAACGGGCCCTCCGCACAGCGGGGCCTCGCCGCCCACTGCGTCCTCGATCGCCGCCGCCACCCCCCGCACTCCCTTCTCCCGACGGAGAACGTCCCCGGGCACCTGCGGTGCGCACCACAGCGGGACGCGGGAGACCCCGAGAGGCACCGCCTATCTTCTCCCTCAGGAAGCTGACGGGGACTCTCGACAGCCACACGCGCTCGCGCCGACGCGGGGGGACGCGAAGCCTCGGCCGGTGCGTTTGCGCGGGGCGAGGGGGCGGCGGGGGCCGGTTCCGACCCCGCGGAGGTGCGGGTCCCGGGCCGCCAGCCCCGCGCCCGGCACTCACGCCCCCGACCCCCGCTCCCCGCCCACACCGGCCGCCAGCTCCGCTCCCGGATCCCGGGCCCACACCCGCTCCCCGCACTGCCCGCGCCTGCCCTCCCGGCCCCCCGAGGAGCGCGACGGTCCCGCAGCGGCGGCCCCAGTCCCCGCCGGCCCGGCGCACCCCGCGGCAGGCGGCGTCAGCGGTTCCTCCCAGTCCAAGTCCCGGGCGCCGAGGTCAGCCCGGGTGAGACGGAGGCTGTGGGCCAGGACTCCGCGGGCCGCATCCCAGGAAGAGGCCAGCATCGGGCGGCGGGTCAATCCCGCGTCCTCGGCCCGGCTCTCCATTCTGCCGCCGCCAGCCCAGGCCCAGTCCGGAACCTCTCTTCCAGGGCTCGCGTTTCCGCCAGGACACAGGGGAGGCGAAGAAAGACAGCGACTTCCGGCTCGGCTGGCTTCAAACCTAAGACCGGCCGCTCCTCGCCCAGTGGGGAAGAAAACCAGGTGCCGGAGACACGCATGCGCGCGCCGGGCGGCTTCGGCAACGCGCTTCCAAACCTGCGCGGTGGAAGAACTCGAGGGCGGAGCATGCGCCCCGACGGCTCCCGGGCCTAGGGCTGGAAGTGTGCGCAGGCGCGGCGCGGGCGCGCGGGAACGGGGCGGGTTTTGCACGTGGGCCCGCGGACATAGCAGGCGGGCGAAGCAGGCGGGCGCTGTGGACGACGGTTGCGGATCCGCCCTGGCGGGTCAGTCCAATGAGGAGAGTCCGTGGTCAGGTAGGGGTGGTGCGGTCGCCGCACGCGCCGCGTTGGGCCTGCTGCGGAGCGTCGGCCTGTCTGCGGTGGACGCCGCGGCCTTCCCGCCCACAGCAGCGGAGCGGGCGGTGGGTGGGTGGCTGCGGGCAGCAGGTGGAGGTTTGTACAGCGTCCCGGACTCGTAGGGGTAGCCGCGGCGCTGGCCGGACGTGGCCGAGTCTGTGAGCCTCTGGCATGAGGGCCAAACACCAACGGGGCTGACCTCGCGTCCAGTGGCCTCATCGCTGGAGGGGAGGAGAGAGGGGGACCGGGTCCTCGGGGCTCTGGTGGAGTAGCCTCTGAGCTGGGACTTGAAGGACTTTTAACGATGGGGTCCGAAAAGTGGAGCAGATGGAACTTCCTAGTTGCCCCTCGGGGTAGGAAGGTAACTGGTGCCTCCCCACCACCTCCACCCAGTCCTCTTTCTGGAAAGGCTTGTACAGATGAGTTTTTCATCTTTTGAAATAAAAAAGGGAATTATATCACAGATAAGTTCCAGAGTCCCTAAATGTAAAGGTCCTAGGACGTTTATGAAGATTTTCAGTACTCCAGATTCATTTTAGGTCATCTCCGTCAGTATTTCCATTCTATATATCCTGCTTCCTGTGATCATAAATTTCCATTCGTGTTAACAATTTGGGGAGTCCTAGGGAAAATATGCTTTTCTTCAAAAACACCTATCTTCAATTAAAGGAAAGAGATCAATGTTATCAGCTGGATTTTGACTTCCTTAAATAGGCTGAATGACCAGGAGTCAAAAAACTAAAGACTCTGTGGTTGACCCTTCTTTCACTCCCATGCATTCAATAAATCAACAGGTCTTGGTTTTCTTTCTCATTCTTCTTCATCTATGGGTCTTTTGTTTTCAAGCACTAGCTTTCATCTGAACAATTCCTGGAGTTTCTTTACTGTCATAAGCCTTCATTCTCATAACCTCCATTCCATCCTCTGCACTGCCCTCTTTTTCTTCTAGTGCTTGATGTCATCGTCACCTTTACTGCTTAGCATGACTTACAAAGCCCTTTGTACTATGACTTTTGCCTGCCTCTTCCCACATACTGCCTCCCCGCCACACGCACACATACTTTCCCCTCCAGGTGAAATGCCCCTTTTGCAGGTATGTAGGGAATATCGTGTTTATCATTCATAACCAGCTGATATTCCTTTTCCTATAGAATTAAGCTAATTCCTCTGTACTATACTTGCCCTTTTTAAGTATGTCAAGAAAAACCAGAGCTGGATGGTAAAAACATTTTATTCAGAACTATGACAATGAGAGAAAGAGGTCCATATGGAAAGAGGCTCCATTCTGAATATAGTGTGGGCAAGTAGGAATTTATGCCCAAGGAACAGGTGGGGAGTCTGGTGGAAAATTACTAAGAGAAATCATCAGGGGTTAGGGGAGTTCTGGCTAAGCCAGCCTAACAGAATTTTTGATGAGATGCCAGGATGATCAGACAGCACCTGGGGGATGATGGAGGATGAGGAATCTGGAGTGTACTCCCCATCAAGGTGGTTATAGGAACTTAAATCCTTAAAAGGATTAACTTGTTCAAAACTTGCACATTTCCAAAAAAAAGACTTGCAGTTGCCCAGCTCCTGAAAATATCCTCTCAGCTGTTGGAATATCCTGCTTGATTAAACTGTCTTTTAACTAGGGGCTTGGGGTCCCACCATCTCTAGGTCATGCTAAACAATACGATTTATGATGAAGGGTCACATTCTATTAGATTGACTTCTGAAAGGGTTGAAAACCGAATAACGTCAGCACGCGGGTGCACTCTGCCTACATGACTGACCCCCAACGACTCTGAGATCATGACCTTAGCCAAAATCGAGTTGGATGCTTAACTGACTGAACCACCCAGGTGCCCCTGTAGAGTTTTATTAGTGTTCATGGCTTTAAAAAAGAACCCCATGCTATTGTTACAGGCTTTTCTTGCTTCCCAACGCTGCCCACCATCACTACCCAAGAGTCTTAGTAAAGAGAATAATTTAAAAATAAAACTAAGGGAAGAGATTTCTTTAAAATACAAATAGAGGTATTAGGGATAAGGTAGGTAGGAATCACATAACTGTGTCTTGTCGCTGTGTGTGCCTTACAACAGATTCTTAAACACTTTCATTTTAATACCCCTTTATTCCCTTAAATTACTGAAAACTGCAAAGAGGTTTTGTATGTTTTATCTTCATAATTAAAAAAAATTAACTTGTTCTGCTTGAATCTACAGTGATGTACACTGATGGGAATGAATCCAGTAAAAAGACTGAAGAAGTAACCAGCATGAGTAATATGGGATCTGTGGAAGAGTCCACGCCAGCTTCAGAATAACTGACTTAACATGAACTTTTGTAAATGGACCTGTTGCATGGGACTGTTTTATCCCACATTCTTGGAGACTCAGCAGTGACTTCTGGGTGAACCATCTCTTCTTTTGGTAAATTTTTAATGAAGGAAAGTAGCATCCAAGCTAAATGAACCATAAGATGTATTTTGCAATTTTTTGTTTTTGTGACACTTGCACGTTCTGAATAAGTAACACATCAAAAATTCTACATAATATGCTCATAACTAATTTTTGAATATTCCTCTTAAAAGTATCCATCTTTATGCAAAATTACAGAATTTTGAGATATGTTAATGTTCCTCCAGGGATAGTTTATAATATTGGATTTCAGGATAAGGGAAAACTATAAAATCCTTATACCAGTTTTACTTCTGATAGCTGTACTTTTATATATGCTATAACGTGAACAGCCAAGGTAAATTTTCTTAGTTGATAGTTAAATTTATCTCCAAATGCTGTGGACATTGTACTTTTCTCACTTTCCTCAAACTATGAGGGGGTTTTTTGTTTGTTTTGCTTTTTAACTGCAGAAGATGTCTTTACATGTGGATACCCAGCATTTAACACAGTATCTGGTACACAAGTACCAAACATTGAGTAATTTTCAGTGTTAAAATATAGCTCATTTATTGGACTGTTGAGTTTGTTTTAAACATCTTTTTAACTATTTAAAACAGAACAATCGTAGGAAGTAAGGAAATAGTGAGAAAGCTCATTGGAATTTTCTTCCAAGGGAGTTGGTCTGAAAGCTTAAGAAACCACAAAGGACACTAAAATCTGTTCCATCGTTGTTACTATGAATCGGATGTTGCCCCAGATCCTCCTTTATCTTAGCAGAACTGCTTTTTGTACCTGTGGTCTTTCCTCAGCCACTTTGGTGGTTCTTAGAGTTAATGAGATTAATGATTATTCTGGTCTCAGTACCCACTTTCAGTACAGTAGATCACTTACACGCTTTCACATACCACATTTACTCACCTCACCAGACCAGGGGCAGAGTGGTCTTTGAGAAATCAGAAAAACACTACATATTGTAAGATTAGTTCCAGATCTGGTAACATTTCAGTATCTGGCTCACATTTTAGGTTACCTTTGTTAAGTTTTTAAAAAACTCAATAGGAAGATAAGATTGGTGATGTGAAGATGATCCAACTGGAAATGATATTGATAGTATAGAAAAGGAGCCAGTAAGCTTGCAAGTTTTACACGGGCCTGAAATTTACAGTTTTTGAAATGGGTATGAACAGATACCTCGCTGGAGAGCAAAGAAAGTTCGTTTTCACAGGCCTCTGAGGAGGTGGCAGCTGAAGGGACAAGCACTTCCTAAATGTCTACTGGGTTATGGAATAACATGTCTTAGTTAATCTCGTAATGGGAAGTGAGAGTTTGGAGAGGTTGTGAATGTCATGTTTGCAATGCCATGTTTGGGTTAAGGTAAAGCAGGTCAAGGTACTTTTTTTTTTTTTTTAAGATTTATTTATTTGAGAGGGGCGGGGCAGAGGGAGAGAGAGACTTCACACTCCGCACTGAGCAAGGCACCCGATGGAGCTTGATCCCACAACCCTAAGATCATGACCTGAGCCAAAATCAAGAGTTCTGACACTTGATAGACGAAGCAACCCAGGCGCCCCAGGTCAAGATATTTTTAAAAGTCTGACTAGAAAGGGGTTCCAGAAGGCTTAGCTCTAGGAATTAGTAAAGAAAAAAGAAATTGGCAAAAGAGGTGAGGAATGAGGTTTTACTCCGATTACTGTGATTAAGGAAATCAGGGCTTTGTCAAGCTAGATTGTTAGTGTTTCTGTTAGCAACTGAAGAACTTGAGTGCTGAGTCGGCAGGAAACAGTGTTAACCAGAGGACACCTGCTTCTGAAGATACTGGGGATGTCAAAAGGTGGAATCTCAGAGTTTCTAAGCGCTCCTCTGCAGACTTATACAGATAAGGAGACTGAAACCCAGAGGAGTCACACATAGCTCTTTAAGTTCATTTGCTCTCAGATGAATATAGTTCCCCTTAAGGACAGGCAGCTGAGTCAGAATGAATTGAAAGCTCTCGCGAGAAGAAACAAATGAACAGCTTCCAACATGGGACAATTAGCTGAGGCAAAAATTGAAATTGGGTGCTGAGCACTTCCTACAACCTATGTGGTAGTCGGTCCCAGCAAAGGTCCCGGGCAATGCCCAGGGCTCTGAGGGCCATAACTGATGGACTAGAACTAGGAAGGGGAGGCATG